CCTCTCTCTCTCTCTCTCTCTCTCTCTCTCTCTCTCTCTCTCTCTTTACTTGGCAATCTCTCCCTCCCGTATATCTACGGAGTCGCGTCCGCTCGGTGCATTTTCACTCGTTTCTCCTGTTTTCTCATTCCATTATGGTAACTCCGCGTGTTTACATCTCAGTCTTACCGGGATACATTTTGGCAGTTGTAAATATACGTTATTCTCGCTCATATTCCTTTCTTCTCTCCTCTTTTTCCTTAAGAATATCTCGCAAGCAATTTGCTTCGAGATAAAAAAACTTGATCCAGTTATTATTATTAAATAAAATATTATTAAAGGAAAGATATTAACAAAAGAAATATAATTACACTTTTTTGACTAATAACGTTATCTTTGGTTAGCATTGATTGTGGACCATAATTGTCGAATGTAGGCTTTGTGTGAAGAAGCGCGGCTTTGAAAAACTCGCGACGGGCGAGGGACTCGTATTGTGCAATCTTATTGAAGCTTTCCGGAGTGGCAGCGAATATTAAGAGCTTATGAATATTCCATCAGACGCAAAACGAAGAATAATTTACGAAGGCGATCCATTGTTCGTCTGTCGTGATGGTTAATCGATATCACGTCCCGTCGTGATATATAGAGGGATCGACGAAAAGAATCCCCCAATTCTCCCAATCCCATACGCGCGTTTCTGTTAACCCCTCATGTAAACGAGGTCTCGTGGTTTTAAAATCCTTGGGGAGACGTTCGGAGGGGATCCTCGAGGTAAAAAGCAGGATTTTCCGTTAGGACGAGGAGCAAAGTGGCGTGACTCGCTAATAAAATGGAAGAGCTGTTATTCCATTTGCTTATCGTCAAATACATTAAATGTATGCGTTTCGCATTGTTATTTCGCGGCACGCTGGAAACGATGCAGTTAACGCTTTGACGCGATATAAAAGTTCGTTTCGGAAAACGAACGCGCGGTTTAAATGCCCACGGGAAGTCCCGCGATCGAATTGGGGTTTTCAGCGCGGATCGTATTTTGTAAGAGATAATTGTGTCGCCGGCGGCGATGGAGTGCCGGTGACACCCGATTGCAAAATTTCCAGTGGATTTGGGTCACTCGGTGCCCTAGGTTCGACGATGCATTAATGACACAGCTATGCAGTGCAAGTGAAATATAGCGTTCGGAGTATTCTAAAACTTCCAGCTGACAGCGCCAATAATTCACTCCTTATTCAACCCTCATAATTTATGTCACAGATATATATATATATATATATATATATATATATATATATATATATAACT